AATAATTTTTTTATAAAATTATTTCTTTATAAAATAATTTTTTTATAAAATAATTTTTATTTATAAAATTATTTTTTTATAAAATAATTTTCTGCGAATCAAAAATTATTTTATAAAAGACGACGGGCGCATTTATAAATTAATTTTTACAGCGGCCATCTCTCTTTGTTTGTAGATACTCGAGTAAACCCGAGTGAACCCGAACGCCCCTCCGCAGATACAATTTTATGACGGACTGTGCTTTTGTTTGACGCAATTTGGGGAAACGATTGAAAATAATAATTTATTATTTTTATTAATTAATTAATTAATTTTTTCATCTACATTTATTTTGATTTTTAGTTTTTAACAAGAATTCTTTGTTTAAACGTTTTTTCATATACCTATAATTATAGGTATATGCGTTTTTTATAAGAAAGCACTTCTAGTTAAATGCAAAACAAATAATGATTTACACCTTTAACTAATAATTAACTGTTAAAATCTATAAACAGCACTACGGTGATCGTATTGTTCATCTTTTACGGGAGGAAGTCCCGGGGACTCAGGTGTCGAATTAAAGGTTAAGTTAATTTACTTTAATTTAGATATTTAAAATGTAAGGTAATCAATTTTAACAGTTAATTATTAGATAAAGGTGTAAATCATTATTTGTTTTGCATTTAACTAAAAGTGCTTTCTTATAAAAAACGTTTAAACATAAAGAATTCTTGTTAAAAACTAAAAATCAAAATAAATGTAGATAAAAAAATTAATTAATCAATTAATAAAAATAATAAATTATTATTTGCAATCGTTTCCCCAAATTGCGTCAAACAAAAGCAGAGTCCGTCATAAAATTGTATCTGGCGAAGGGCGTTCGGGTTCACTCGGGTTTACTCGAGTGTCTACAAACAAAGAGAGATGGCTGCTGTAAAAATTAATTTATAAATGCGCCCGTCGTCTTTTATAAAATAATTTTTTTTTATAAAATTATTTTTTTATAAAATAATTTTTTTTTATAAAATTATTTTTTTATAAAATAATTTTTTTTTATAAAATAATTTTTTTTTATAAAATTATTTCTTTATAAAATAATTTTTTTATAAAATAACTTTGTTTTATAAAATTATTTTTTTATAAAATAATTTTCTGCGAATCAAAAGTAATAATAATTTTATAAAGCATATAATTAATTATTTATAAAATAAAATAAGTTTATTTAGCACTTTTAATTTTGACACAAACGGCGCCTCATAGTCTTGCATAAACTTTTGGATATAAAAAAGCCAAAGCGATGACATATATAGCTGACAAAAATTTTGTTTGCTCTTACTAAACGTTTTTCTAAAATAAATTTAGTTTGTGTGTCCTTTTTGATTTTAGATAACCAATTACTAAAATTTTCAGAAGAAAAAAATTATAAGTTTTCAGTGTCAATATTGATATCATGAGCATAAAATGATTACTAAAATCAACTTAACATTTTTTCATGTAATTGCATAAAGGACATTTTTGCATTTGTTAGACAATATTATTTTAGTATTTTGATCTGATGTGTTAATTTATTGGTCATTATTTTACAAAATTCTAAACGTCTGTCTGCATCATTATCACCAAGTTATTGTGTAATATGTATTGAATGGGTATGAATGGGTGGATTTTGTGATGTTTTAACACCTTCCTAACAGACTTCTTAAACCTGAAATTATCAAAAAATCATAAGAAAGCTTTTTTGTACAGCGTTCAATTTCCTATAAAAATATGTGTCTCTTATTAACTTGCTCGGAAGGAAAAAAAATTAAATGTAAAATGTGCTATTTAAATGGGAAATGTATCGTCTTTGTGTCAAGGTGAATATTTTTTTTTTATAATTTTTTTAATATTTTTTCAGATCATAAACTAAACATTTAGAGGGCGCTGTAAAAAAAACCAAGTTGGTAAATAACGGACCCCCTAATATACAGGGTGTCCGGGAAAAGGAGGTCAATCCGTTAACCATATATTCCTTGAGTTAAAACAATAAGACTTAAATAATACCATTTTTCAATTTAGAGCTTTATGTTCGATATACAGGGCGACAAAGTTTGAAATTTAAAACTGATTTTTTTTAATAATTCGAGTAATTGATAAGATACTAAGATTAAATTCGGTACACTAGTTCAACATAATAGTTACATTTTTTGAGACCAACAAAACAAAAAACAATTGTCAAATAATCAAAATAAGGGGGGTCCAGTACTTACTAACTCCCCCTATTTTTTAGTACGTGCGCCAATTTTTTTTTAACAATAAATGATTACCTGAAAAAATTCCGTTTGGAAGTCATTGGCACACGTACTAAAAAATAGGGGGAGTCAGTGAGTACTGGACCCCCCTATTATGATTATTTGACAACTGTTTTTTTGTTTTGTTGGTCTCAAAAAATGTAACTATTTATGTTGAAGTAGTGTACCGAATTTAAACTTAGTATCTTATCAATTACTCGAATTATTAAAAAAAATCAGTTTTTAATTTCAAACTTTGTCGCCCTGTATATCGAACATGAAGCTCTAAATTGAAAAATGGTATTATGAAAGTCTTATTGTTTTAACTCAAGGAATATATGGTTAACGGATTGACCTCCTTTTCCCGGACACCCTGTATATATATATATATATATATATATATAACAGCAGATAAGAACTAAAGATGGTACATAAGATTGTACCGAAACGTCGTCAGACATACAAAACGCCGTGCACCACGATTTTAGATTGCGTTGTAAATTGCTTCCAGTCTGTAACCGATAATCTCCCGACAACCAATCCTCTGGAAGGATGGCATTGCCGTTTCCAGGCAAAGATTGGAGCAGAGCATCCGACAGTTTGGAAGTTCATTACCGCCTTAAAAACGAGACCAATCTATTAATGAACTTCGCATTGAACAGGCAATAGCTGGTCAAGCAATATATATATATATATATACATATATATATATATATATATATATATATATATATATATATATATATATATATATATATATATATATATATATATATATATTCACTTATGGAATAAAATTCGTTATTCGTTGAGAAAAGATTTTTATGAAAAACGCTCGGACACGTAAACTTTAATTTTTTATTCCAAATCTTATAATGATAATTTTAAATTTTATGCCCCCACCATTTCCCCCCCCCCCGCACATTAGGCACCCTTATCTTAAATAACAACCCCACTTTTTTTCATCGAAAATTTATAGTGCACATTTTTTTTAGTACGACGATACCACATAAGTAGGGTTTAGTAACCATAATTTTCAATACAGGGTGAATATTTAAAAATTACAAGTATGAATTTTTATTGTTATATATTATCATGTTGTAAGAGACCTGTCAAAATATCACCTCGATTAAAAAATTTTTAGGGGTCGCTCAATCAAAATATCGATTTCAAATCGACGATTTGAAATTTTCAGAATCTTTATTATTTTCAAATTAAAAAATAACATCGGAACGAGAAAAAAATTTAAAATAAAAAAAAAAAAATTTTGACGATTTTTAAAAATCTTGAGCGACCCCTAAACAATTTTTAATCGAGCTGATCTTTTGACAAGGCTCTTAAAACATGACATATGACATATATATATGTTAGTTAGTTATACATACAGAAATGACCATTATAGAAGCGAAAAAAAAAACTGTGTCTCATATTTAATCAAGAAAAAGTGTAAAAATGAGAGTTTAAATATGAGACAGTTATAAAACGCATGTATTAACAGTCATGGCGTCCGGACGCGCCCTATAAACGAAAAATGTGACATTTTTGTTTTGAATACAATAAAAAGCGCAAAAAAACAAAAGAAAAAGTACAACAATCTTTATTGATAGAAAAATACTAGGGCTGTGCCGATACTACCTTTCAGATACCGATACCGATACTTCCGATACCTAAAATCCGATACAGATACTATATCTGAAATTCAGATAAAAGGTATTTTTTTACCAACTTTTATTTAAACCCAAAACTCATTACAAAAGTTTTGTAACAAAACATTATAAACATTACAAACATTAGCTTAACAGCTAACAACTTCAAAAAACACTTTAACTCAACCTAAGAGGTAAAAATTTTTCTTTAATAATATTAATCTCTGGACATTTTCTGATGTTAGTGAGGTTCTTGTAGGTTTCACAATATGCCCAGCTTCAGAAAAAGTTTGTTCAGAAAACACAGATCCAGCTGGTATTGACAAATAGAGAGCAGGAAGTTTTTTTAGTTTTAGAAATCTTGTTTCCAATAATCTAATGGGTCATTTTCAAGTTTTTCTGTTGGTTCATGTAAATATAGTTGGATTTCTTTGTCCATCTCATAGTTTGTGTTTGCGTTTGGACTACACTGATTTTTTTGTAAAAGTTGTTTAGTAGCCTAAAAGAAAATAAAGCAAATGAAATATGCACTATTTCAGTTTTAAAACTTGGGAATAAGTGAAACAGAGGTTCCTGGGGCTTCATCAGAGTTTGTATCCGTATCAGAATCAGACTTCTGTTCTTTTAACACATTTATTATTTTCTGAATTATGGTTTGCTCATTTTCGTTTTCACTAGTGAATTAACCAGCTTTATATCGCGGATCTAAGGCTGTGGCTATTAATTAGAGATAATTTTTTAATGAAACTGAAGCGATTCTCTAGTCCCGCTAATAATTCCTTTACTAGTTGCTTTACATCTTCCACTTCCAAATAATTTTTTAAAACAATTTCAATACCTTTAACTAGTGGAAAGACATCCGCTAACGAAGTCGAATGATTACTAAGGGTACCTTCTTGAAATGGAGCTTAATTTGAACTACCTTTTCAGTAAGTAGCCACTCCCTATGTGACATGTTAACAAAATTGCGGAAGACGACACAACTAAAACATAAAACAAGTAGTTTGACTAATAATTATAAATATTACAATGACATTATGATTACTAGCAAATCGAAATACTGATAAGTCTAATTAGTTGTTTTTAAAAATTTATATAAGGTATTTACCTGATATAGCATCTTTTTGTTCAAGAAGTCGATCAAGAATGTGGAAAGTGGAATCCCAACGAGTGGGTTCATCTTGAACCATACATTTCTCTTTTTGACCCAAAGACTTTTGATAGTTATGTAAAACTTTCAGAGAAGTCACTGAATGTTTAAAGTGTGTAACAATGCCCCTAGCTGTATGGAGCATTTCTTTAATTGCAGGGGCATTAAGACATCCGGAATTAATTACCTAAAAAAATCAAACATTAAGTAAAGGTAATAAAACTTTTTTGAAGTAAGTATTAAATTAATATTTAGTATTTCTATACTACCACCACCACTCACCAACTGCAATAAATGTGCCGTACAACCTACATGTTCCACTGAAAGTTGTCTTATAGCTGCTTTCATGTTTGCAGCGTTGTCAGAAACTATCGCGATTATTTTTCTTTGAATGTGCCATTTTATAAATGCCTGTTTTAAATTATCAGCCACAAAACTAGCTGCATGTGATGGACCATCAAAGCCAGCAACTTCCAGTACTAAGTGGTTTCTTTGAATATCCTTGTCGATAAAGTGAGCTGTTACACTTATATAATCATGACCTCCTCTGGTCCATATGTTTGTTGTTATAGCAATGGAATTTAAAGAACAATTGCCGAGAACATTGTGTACTTTTTTCTTTACTATTTCGTAATACTTCGGAAGCAGTTTTCTAGAAAAGTATGTTCGACTAGGAGTTACGTATTTTGGGCAAACAACCTTTATGAATTTCTGAAAACCACTACTCTCAACTAAACTAAAAGGAAGAGATTCCAGGCAAAGCATTTCTAGTATAGCTTTATGTATAAATGTTGCTTTTGGGCTGTCAATATCGTAATTTTTCTTTAGATCAACTATCGAGCGAAGAGTTGGTTGTATAAGTTTATTCGATAGCACAGAATTACTGTAACTTGCACTGGAGTTTCGAAAGTCTGTTGCACTTTCCCCGATAGCTACTTCCGAGTCTCGAGTTTCTAGGTCTTGTTGACACTGCTGATAACTACTTATGGATATCAGAATCGGGAATTGTTTCTATTTCTTGCATTTGAACATCTTGAGAATCGTGATCATGGCGATCACCATTTGGATTCTTACAAAATACTTACATAAGGCTAAAGATTCATTTCTTGGTTCTTTAGTAAAATGTTTCCATATATCAGACATTTTTTGGACATAAATAGGAGATATTAAATTAAACACGTTCGAACTTCTTTTTAAGACATTTTTAGGTTATGTTAAAAAATTTAATCAAACCTCAAAATGTCTAAAATCAGTAAAATCACAACGCCGCGCCGCCGTGTCAAACATGCCGCCTAACGTGATACTAACGCCGTTTAAATAACGGTTGAGTCCACAGAGTATGAGACAGACCGCAACGATTTTTTTACAACGATTTGACACAAGAAAAAAGTATCTGAAAATTAGATACTTTGGTTTTAGGTATCGGCGAGTATCGGAATATAGTCAATATCGGCCGATACCCGATACTGAGTATCGGTATCGGCACAGCCCTAAAAAATACGTACAAAAAAGGTAACACAGGTACAGTAAAATATTATCTTATTATCTTAAGTTAAGTAAAAAAGGAACTCATTAACACAAAGGAACACATTAACGCACTAAAAATCTGTCGAAATCTATTGGAAATACAAAAATATCTGCCGCTCTAGAAGTTCCTGCAAGCGGAGCTGAGGATGGTAGTTTTAAAACAATATCTTCCTTTACCATGGTATGTGCACATTATTGATTTCGAGAACTGCAGGATAAACAAATTTATTTCCCTTGCGTCTTAAATAGGACACACAAATTTCATCATTAGGTAACAAATCTTTTAGAATAGCCATGTAGTGCACGTCTTTATTTTTGGTTTTAAATTTAACCAAAACGAAATCGCCATTAATTATATTTCCTTCATCTGCGAATATAATCCCTTCAAGCTGGGATGGAGGCATACTTTTACCATCATTTTGAATTTTTCCTTATCATCATTTTTAATTTCTTCCTCATAAACATTTTGCAACATGCATGCTTTGGACCATTGTCCTGTTGAAAAATGTGCCTTAAAGGCATAATTTCATCTGCATATGGCACCATTTTGTTCTCCAAAATGTCCTTATATTGAAACCTATCCATGTGTCCTTCTATTTTGTGTAGTGGACCAACACCATACCCTGACAATATAATATATTTGGGTTGGGACCATGGATAATTAATACATATTCACAAAAAAATTAATATGTGTTTTGGGATTTTTTTATGTAAGCTCTAGTTTTGGAGATGTGGGATGGTTGCGAAAGAAATCTCAGCTTAATTATGTGAATTTATTTGTAACAACTTAACAACTTAACAGCAAATAATGTGTAAAATATCAGGACTACAAATTGCAATGAGTAGCGTGTAAGTCGGCGTAGGTAAGACTGACCGACGCGTCTTTTCTTCCCGGCTCAGCCACATCTTGGCAGATCAGCCTCCCACGCAACGGCGTACGGTGGGCTGGGCCTGGCCAAAAGTACAAAAAGTCAACTTTATCTGATCAAAAAAAATAATACACCAATGTAAAGAAAAAACCTTCATTTGTAAAATTCCGATAGATAAAGTTAAAAAACATTTTATTTAAAAAAGAGACAGCTGTTTAAAGTGAAGCAATACGGAAAAAATTCAGATTTTAGATTTCAACAGAATTTTCTCTATCTTTAAGGCGCTGTTACTTCTTATACATAACAAAAATATGTAAAAAAATATGGTTTAAATTAAAGATGTATGTAATACGATATTGTATGTGTGGTACAATTATTTTAATAATTGTACTTATAAAGTTATGTTGAATAATATAATACCTTGTAAAATCATAAAATTTTACACTTAACTATAGATAAGTTATGCGGTCCAATTTGGTCCAGAAAAATGTTTACACCAAATTGTAGCCCAAAGAATAACAAATAAGGCTATATATGGTTATTGATACATCTTTTGACCCCTAAGAAAGTTATAGCGGTTTATAAAAGGCCGCGCGCTAAGAATTTTGTATTTAATATTGTTAAACAGCTATAGATTGCGCTCTTTTTAAAGCGCGCTTATAATCTTAACCATAATAAATATAGGATCTATTGTTAATTTTTTAATATAACAAATAAAATTATTTAATAATAAATTTTGTTATAAACATTTTCTTTGTTTCAAATAAATTATTAGTTTCCTAAAACAAATCATGTAACTATTTGTAATCCTGTACATTGTTCTACCTAGAGGTAAAAATAGTGATGAACCAAATGATAAACATTTCAGGTAATGTACCTTTGTTGGTATATGTTTTTAGGTATAATTTTATATATATATATATGTATATATATTACATCATAAAATCAAACTAAATTTATATTCAATCATTATTAGCCTTCATTAGACATCGTTAATTTTCCTGAAATAGAAGACACCCTGGGGTCAGACAGACCCTACATATTTTTAGAGAATATATGGAGCCTAAAAATATTTAAGAAAAAAGTAGGTATCAAATAACATCTTAAACAAATACACAACAATTTTTTTTAGTTGCTTATCTATTGTGCAATAGGAATGTACTGCAAAAGTTATATATAAATTTGTCCCATATTTCCCTAACCGGAGCTAGTTTATCGTTGGTCCTCCGCTCTTGTCTGGTTTCTTTGTCGTCGAATCGAAGACAAGATGACAAAAATTTTAATCTGTTTTGTGACATTGCTGCTCTATTGCTATATTTATTTGATCACAATTCATCAGTGCTTGATTTTGATGATTTTCTTACACCAGATAAAGACTCTTAGAAGGCTGTTCTTCTTGCATGTCTTCATCACTCTGCTCACTTTCTGACCCCTCTTGTTCTTCCAAATAGCCGGAATCTTCATCTGTGTCATCGTCACCAAAAATATTTTCCTCAGTATCCTCTTCTAACAAGATTTTATTAATTTGTTAACGTAAAAAAAAACTTGAGGCTTAAGCGCCGCCTCTTATCCCAAGAATTGCTGGCTTCATCCATAATGATTTTTTTAAACCAAAATACAATTCAGCAATAACTAATAGTTAGTAAAACTAAATAAACTACTCACATAATTAAAATATTCAAAAAATTAAAGATCTTTTGTAATGACCAATAAATAACGTTAAAGACACCTTGGTGTCAGGCGGACCCCGCACAAACTTTAACTGACAGTTGAAAGCCTACTAATTCAAATATCAACTAACGCTGCAGACTATATATGGCCAACATGTTAACTTAAATTTACACGAAAGGGCAGCACAACTTAGCGATTTATATAAAATCTTTTTAAAGTTGTATAAAGTCAGGGGTATATCTGACCCCACGGTGTCTTACGAAGGTTAGTGTTGTCAGTGATTTACCGAGTTTAATATGGAAGAAATTAAATATTTAGATTTAGTCAATTTAATATTTAAAAATGATTACGATAACAAAGAATTACTTCAGTTTATAAAAGAAAAATACAAACTTAATCAAGAAGATGAAGACAAAACGAACTTGAGATTAAAAACGTTTACTAGTCATGTTAAGGATCGACTTCGCAAAGTAAAGTACAACAAGAAAAAATTTATTATAGAATATGAGAGTTGGTTGGAAAATACTTTTTTTATATCCGAAGAAACTGAAAATACACCAAAGAAACAATGCACTGGAAGACCTAGCAAGCCATTTATGGAATCTAGTGAGAGGTCAAAAAGACGCAAATCTTTGAAAATAAGGGAAAGTATTGGTATTGATGGAGTTAATTTTGTGTATAAAAATACATTAAATAGTAGTAATGAAAATTTACCGTCTACCAGCGAATTAAGAGAAATTCCACTATCAGATGACGAAGCACTGGCATTACTTCTGGATTTAAATTTGTCCAAAGCAGGCTACATTAAATTACGGAAAATTGCAAAATTGCATAATTCAAATTTATTTCCTTCGTATGAGCACATTAAAAAATCCAAGAATGAATGTTATCCCGGTGATATAACTACAACCGAAATGGGTTCTGAAATAGGTCTGCAATCACTTTTAGATCACACTTCAAAACGTTTGCTGGAATCTGTTGAATATGATGCCAATTTCGGTAATAGGTGTAACCTTAATATTTGAATTTAGCGACAATAATACATTTTTATAATATTTAATTATTTATTTTAAACATTGAACGTATGCAACCCAGAACACGTTAATTATCTATTGTTTTATCTGCCTATAAGAATCTAATGTAAATATCTTAAACCTAATGTAAATAATTGAATCATTTGAATTGCCTTTATATAATTAATACATAATCATTATTAAAGTATTCCAAAATTTAAATGAGTACAAGCATTTGATTGATTAAAATGAGTATAAACACTTAATTGATCCATTCACCAAAAGTATAGTTGTTTGTTCGAACTACCTGTTTAAAACTTATTTAAACAATAATATTCATACCATTACTTTTGAATTCGTTTGTCTATGTTTATTAGCTTAATGAAGATTTTTGATACCTTCTCTTGCTAAATAGATGTTTTATTGATACTTTATTCTGTATGTTGTCTAATTATCTTTATTTTTGTTTCCTTGATTTATTTAAATGTATTGTCGCGCTATTTACCAATTGCGTCGATTGTTTTTTTGCTTGATTTTTTTTTGGACATTCTAAAATGGTTTCTGGTTGAGTGTGCAAGTATTGTTATTAAATTATTGGATATTGGTTCCATCCTTAGAAATTAAGGGATTTGTTAATAACAAAAGTTTTCTTTAAAAAGTGATTGAGTTAGTGTGGTTGATATTT